CTTACAGCCTAGCTTCCACGCGGGTTGCGTTGCAATGACTAGTCTATTAATGGAGAATTACTGCCAGTACCAACTAAATTGAACTGAATTGTTTCCCAGGTACAAATCTAAAACAAGCGTATACAGCACGGATCGTCTCCCGCGGCTGCCTTCAAAACATCCTTTAACAGCTGCGGACCGTCATATCCTTCGCGTTTTTTGCTGAAAATGCAAAAGCGCATTCAAAAGGTATAATCAATGGGGACATGGCGAACTTAAGTGGGCGTTTCAGACCTAGCTATCCTCCTTGGCTATGTATAAACGAGCCCTGGAGCTGCGAGGCTTTAGCTTCGAATCGGCTATCAAGAAACAAAATCCTTCCTAGTTGCAGTTTTGCGTGTCTGGCTGACGACTGCAAGCGAACCAAGAACGTACAGTCCAACTTAAGGCAGGATTTATTTGTACAAACAAATTCCGAGACAGCTTTTCAACTGCCTCCTGTCTTTGCATGAGATCGCTCACAAGCGGAGTATACAACAGTGTGAACTTGCACAGAATCAATACATAACAGCAAGGTCATTGTTCAACGAGGCGAATAGTCAATAATAAGGTTGCTTTTAAACTTGACATACAGGAAGGAAATGTGGGGAAGGGATAAAAAATCAAATCCTGATTAAATCCAGGTCTGCATTAGAGATTAGTCACATAATCTAACTGCTTACATAGGTCGGGTGTCTCCCGCAGTATATAGCTTGCTTCCATTTAGCACAAGGTCCGATTAGTTCGTGCTCGAACAAGTACTCGGAAAGATGTTTTGAGGACAACAGAGTGACCAAGGTCTAGCAGATGTTTTGTAATGGAGGCTCGTGGTACCTCGTTTTCTTGCTTAAAAGATCAACTAGGTAAATATTCAGTGGGCCTGGCTGCCAACTGCCTTTGGAAGCAGGCTATATACAATGGGAGAAACCCTAACTGTCTAACTGTCGTCAGGTGATGATAAGATTGGGTGGCGTGAAGTTCGTGATGATAAACCAATAAG